ATTTACAACTGGTCAAAAATAGCCCAATTTCAAAAGTAATCGAAATTTAGCCACTTTTTATGTATAGATAAATCCGAGCAAAAATACTGTTCAAAACCCGGAAAATACTCCAGTATATTATGCTGGAGTTCCAGCATAAGTATACTTGAACTCCAGCATATTATACGGGAGTTCCAGGATAGTATGCTGGAACTCCGGCATAATATGATAGAGTTCCAGCATAAATACACTAGAACTCCAGCATAATATACTGGAGTTCCAGCAAGTATAATGGTCCAATATAATATACTGGAGTTTGGAGCACCAGTGCTCCAGTATATTATACTGGAGCCAGCAAAGTATACAGGTCCAGCATAATATGCTGGAGTTCATACACAAGTACACCGAAACTCCAGTATATTATGCTGGACCGGTCTCTATTACAACAAAACGGTGGCTATTTTTCATTAACTTGGTAAACGCTAGCTATTGTGATTGACCAGTCCGAAAACTGACTATACCGTGAAATTTTGGCGCTTCATTGCTCTAACATAAGTAGGCCGACTCTGTAATCGGCCCAGAAGAAGTTACCAAAGTTAAGAATTCCCTTACAAAATTACCTAGCACTTAATAATTACTTATGAATTCATAAAATATTCCATAATCTACACCTAGTAAAAAATTAACATATTCTACAACAACACATAAAAAATATGGTAGATTCCATATTAAGGGGGAATCACATTCTGAAACGTATCCCATATAATTAGCCCCTAAAAATGCTCCATTTTGCTAATTATTGATTACCACTATAATAATTTATAAAGAAAATTATTGTAATATTTTACATTACATTCGGTACAAGTAATTAGTTACTAGATAAATCAAAAAATCTCATCTCCCTCCATCTGTGCAAAATTAGTCAATCGAATTAAGAGGACCCAGATTTTAGCAAACTTTGAAGGAATCCTTATTCAAAGGAAATCCCCAAAAAGATATACAATGATATATATATATATATATATATATATATATATATATATATATATATATATATATATATTAAAGAAAAAAATATTATTAGCAAATATACTATACACAAAACACAAACTATATATATATATATATACACACGATGATACGTTATAAATAAAACTTGATGAAGAAGAAGCAAACTTGGGGAAAGCCTCGGAGATTTTTGATGGTGCATAGGTGTTATAATAGAGAAGGAAATGAAAATCTTGTAAAATTAAAACTGAAAATACATGTTTGTTTTAAAAGTGGATATACTTTGATTGTATTAATGACTAATAGATGGATAGTTGAGACATTATTGGGTCAAAAAAATTAGTCATTCCGCAATTGAATACTTAAAAAAGTTGTAAGACATTTTATGGAATTTTATCAAAGTAGTTGTAATATTTCTAAATAAGTTTTAAAGAAGTTGTATTCTATGTAAATTCCTCACTTAAAAACTTGAATAATTAACCCAAATAACCGCCACCTAACTTTTTAAATTAAAAATAAAAATGTATGATATATATAATATATGTTTAACTGTATATAATTAATGTATAATCTATATATACCGGTTAAAAAAAGTATATAATGAATCTGACCGGCTATTTGTATAACAATAGTATTTACGTAATGGAACATTACATAATATAAATTATTAGCAATAAGCAACATTGACATACTGGCCGGTTATTTGTATAACATAGTATTTATGTGATGGAGCATAACATAATACAAATTACTATTAGAAATCAGCAACACTGACATACTTGCTGACAAATAACCTTACTATATTTTGCAAGATTTGTAGCAGAGACCTTTAGGTTTAGGCAGCAACAACAACAATAAATTCAATATAATTTTGCTAGTGAAGTCTAATAGCCTGTTTGGCTAAGCTTTTTTTTGGTCAAAAGTGTTTTTTTTTTTGCCAAAAGCACTTTTGGTCAAAAATTGAGGTGTTTGGCCAAGCTTTTGGAAGGAAAAAAAGTGCTTTTGAGGAGAAGCAGAAGCAGTTTTGGAGAAGCAGAAAAAAGTTGCTTATCTCCAAAAGCACTTTTTTGAGAAACACTTTTGAGAAAAATACACTTAGAAGCAGTTTTTTAAAGTTTGGCCAAACACTAATTGCTGCTCAGAAGTGCTTTTCAAACTAATTAGCCAAACACAAACTGCTTCTCACCAAAAGTACTTTTGAGAAAAGCACTTTTAAAAAAAAATACTTCTCAAAATAAGCTGATTTTTGCAGCTTGGCCAAACGGACTATAAGATAATGAGTAAGCAGGCTTTACCCTTCCCCAGAATCTCCTTTGGTTTAATCTCTCAAAATTGATTGCAAAGGTAACATCTCATTGACTAATAAGATGTCACTTCAAACTCACTTTTCATGATTATTATTTTCTAAGACAGACGATTTGCTTCTCCTCCAAAAGCAAAAGTGATTCTTAATATAGATCAAATCCTCTCCCTCTCTCCCACACACAGAGGAGTGGAGCTAGGCGGGCGGACGGGTTCATTCAATCCACTTTCGTCGAAAATTATATTGTATATATAAGATTAATTTTTTCAATGTATTTATTAGTGTTGAATTCCCTTAACTTCTTTGTGCATTTATTATTATTATTATTATTATTATTATTATTATTATTATTATTATTATTATTTAAATCTCCTTGGTGAAAATCATGCTTTCGCCATGCGCTCACAAACACATTATTCCACTATAGGCAGGGGCGAATTTAGGGGGGCGAAAGGGGGTTTACCCTAATCCTATTCGTCGAAAAATTACACTGTATATATAAAGCAAAATTTGTTTTTTATCTGTATATATTAAGTTTTGAATCCCTTTGACACAGCCTGTAGCTTAGTGATCAAGGGGGTTCAAAACCTTTGTAAGGTCATAAGTTCAGTTCCGACTAGCTACAGTCCTAACTATAGGGCGCCCAAGTGGCCATTATCTTAGCTAGAGTTTCCCTTTAGTTTGTGAGATTTCCTGCGATATATTAGGAAAGAAAGAATCATATTATTATTACGTGATTGCCGTCAAATGATTATGTACTAACAACCTTTAGACAAATGAAATTGTATTATAAGGGGAAGAAAAAAATGAACGTTGACACATACAAGTAGGAAAAATCAATGTGTTTAGTTGTATAACTGGTAAGGTGAGAAATGAAAAAGAAATAGCAAATTTCTATGGAAACCCATTCACTGAGCTGTAATGATGGGGTGCATGTGGAGTGGATACATAAATCAGATGATCTGTTAACCTTTGCACTCTCTCCTCTCTTTCTAAGAATTAAACTTAAAAGAAAAACAAAGAAACCAAAAAAAAAGGAGAGAAAATAGTGGAATGATTGATAAGACTTGAAATGAAAAATCCTAGGAGCTAGCTAGCCGCAACTTGCTCCTGCTGTGTTCACTTCCAGACTTTTCAGTTCTGACTCCTAACCATTTTGTATGCCTGAGAATATCGTTATTTTGCAAGTTTTAGAAATTTTTTAGAAAGTGAGTTTTTCAAAAACCAAAAAGGGTTTGACTACTTTTTAAAATTTTCAGGATTTTTTTTCTTACTCACAAAGTTGTATTATTTTTTCAAGTAAAACACATGTCCAAACATAATTTCAAATTCAAAATACTATTTGCAACTTAACTCCAAATATTTTTTTTTTCAAATTACAATTTTTATGTCTAAACGCCTACTTAAACAATTTTTTTTTTGGTGGGTAGATGCTATAGGATATTCTCGTTTAAGTCCGAATTCGCTGTTACACCTTCATCGTCTTTAATTTTATGGCTGTTTGCGACGTCCTATATATGTTATTGATCAGCTATATATCTATAAAATGTGTAACTGTGAGGTAACATTGCCAACGTATCAGACGGTCACAAACCAAACAGGACTATTTCCCAATGAAATTGAAGTACTTAGTTTTAGTAGGGAAGTGTATTTGCATAAGTGAGATGCTACTGTCTTCTTATTTGTATTGCTATTAGTACTTTTGCAAAAGATGAAAAAGAAGAAGATAATTATGAGTAGGTACTCGTACTTACCTTCACTCACCTTGGTCTTGCCATATTCGAGGATGTCCTATATATAAAGATTAAGATTTAACTTATATAAATCTAGTCAATAGATAATTTTTACATTGTATATAAATATATTTTAACCTAATGTATCAGATGACTTGTTTTAATTTTCAGATTATTAATTTCACTTATATTGAACAATAACATGTGATTATCTCTCATGTGACATGTCGAAAGTCTTCTATCTAAAATTAATCTGCTTGTTGCAAACTACAAACAAAGAGTAGCAAAATTTTAATTTTCTCAGTCAAAGCAATAAAAGGGTAATGATTGACCCTGCTGACCTTTGTCACTTTATGATTAAGCTATGATTAGTTTTTTTTTTC